CTGTCCAAGATACTAGAAAAGGTAGTATCCTCACAACTATATTCCTTCTTAGAGAAAAATGGTATCTATGAGGATTTCCAGTCAGGATTTAGACTGTATCATAGTACTGACACTGCTCTCATTAGAGTTACAAATTACCTGCTCTTGTCATCTGATCGTGGTTGTATCTCTCTATTAGTGTTACTGGATCTTAGCGCTGCATTCGACACTATTGACCACAACATTCTAGAAAACTAGAAAACATTGTTTATATTTCTTCGCGGCCCGGTGAAACATACCAATTTGAAAAACTAAAGGAATGCATAGTAAATATAAAAAACTGGATGATGAGTAATTTCTTACTGCTAAATTCTGAAAAAACAGATGTGTTAATTATAGGACCTAAAAACTCTGCACGTAATAACCTAGCACACTGTCTAAGACTCGATGGCTGCTCTGCATGGGCGTTGCTAGGCCACTTTTAGGGGGGCTATAGCCCCCCTAAAATGACGTTTGTAACTACAATAAACAGGTGTGTGTGTGAGATCAGGAAGGCTTATTCAGTACTCAAATGTTACCTATCTAAGCAATACAGTGGAATACTGCAATAAGTTTAGTAAACCATCCCTATTAGTCACCCCTAAAATGAAAATCATAGAATCGCCCGCAGCAGCTAGAGTTCTTACTAGAACCAGGAAGTATGACCATATTAGCCCGGTTCTGTCAACACTGCTCTGGCTCACTATTAAACATCATATATATTTTAAAATCTTGCTAATTACTCTTTTGAGATGAGCCCCAGAGACAGATCCCCAGTGAAGACCTGGTCTCCTAGATAGCCACCGGGACAAGACCACAGGAACAGGAACTGGTCCGCCGAATGAGCCTGGTTTCTCCCAAGGTTTTTTCTCCATTCTGTCTCCGATGGAGTTTTGGTTCCTTGCCGCTGTCGCCTCTGGCTTGCTTAGTTGGGGACACTTAATATCCAGCGATATCGTCGACTTGATTGCACAGATACTATTTAAACTGAACTGAGCTGGATGATGACATCACTGAATTCAATGATGAACTGCCTTTAACTGAAAATTGAGTGTTTACTATTGTCATTTTGCATTATTGACACACTAATTTCCTATTTAAATACTGTAAAGTTGCTTTGACACAATCTGTATTGTTAAAAGCGCTATATAAATAAAGGTGATTAAAACTACAAATTAATTCAGTAAAGAGCAGTGAGTGATTTTCTCCCTTTTTTCTTGAATTAAATTAAGTACACAGACAGCAGCTAGTAAATTAGGCACGGACGGTCACTTTAAGAGACAATGCATCCAATATAATGCACATCCGATATCTTTCTCAACTGTTTATTTTCCCTGAGGACATTACCGATAAATGTTTTTTCGAGGATACTGGCAAAGACAGGTATTATCACATAATTTATGTATTGTTATAATTTATGTATTTGTCGGTTCAAGAGCAAGAAGAGGCAAAACTTAATTTTGTGTTCAAGGGCTGCAAGACGCGGCTCTCTAAATACATACAAAGGAAGGGTACTATAGCAGACCAATCACTGTGCTTGCGGTCCATGTAGAATTGACACACTGCGATATTTTTGGAGAGGTGCACGTCAGGCTACGCTGTAGCCTGCGCGTACTATACACAACCTACGGCGTAGTTTCGACGCAGAAGTATAAATCAGCCTTTAGCCGTTTGCATCGCACAGCTCGCAGCACCTGATGGATGCGTTTGTTACGCAGACATTCAGAAGGCGGGACCCGCTTTGAAACTGCAACATTAATTGGTTTAATTACAGATGAGTGACAATTCAACTGTTTCCAATGAACAATGAGGCTAGAATTTGCTGCCCGTCTTGACTGGTGGACTAGCATATAGGGGATGCCACGGTTATGGAGGCCCCTCCTCAAAGCCCGAGGCCCTAGGCAATCGCCTGCTCTGACTATAGCTAGCGCCAGCCCTGGCACATACTCATATGAGCCCTAAATATCAACACAACGCGTTTATTTACACGTTATGTGTTTTCCTCTCATATAAAGACGAGGCTTAAAGCACACAGGACAGTGATATTAAAAGAGTACATTGTGTACACACCTTACTAATACTATGTGACTTTAAATTTAACTGTCTGTCTTAATATATAAGCCATGTTAAGCGTTTTCCTTTGTATAGTTTTCTAAAGGGAGGAAAATGTTTCACGTGTAATTCAATGTGTCGCATTAATATTCTTGCCTCATCTGCATGTCTTTTAGCATCACTGTCTTAGTACATTAAACCAGCATTTTAAAATGCTACAAAACTGTTCACAAGCTTCCAGGGTGTTTATTTTGGTTGTCATTTGTTTAAATAAATACAAAAAATACAGTGTGTTCGTGTCTGTCCGGTGAATGTGCCCTCAATCTCTGATTCTCCTCCGTGGCCATGGACAAATGAATATTTACAATGACAATAAATTATACTTCGTCATTGAAACGCTTCCAACAAAGAAATGGATGGACTTCTGTCAGCTTGTTGAACACACTTTTATTTGGATATTCTACCATTTGATGGCTGAAGCAGCAGCGAGCGTCCAGCTGGCGACACTGTTTTCACGGTCATCAGATCAACTTTGTGAATGAAATTCTACAAAACTTGAGTTAAAAAATCAAATTATCACAAGAAGTGATAAAATAGCTTCTCTTCCCTGCAAACGATACAATGAAGAACGTGAATATTTAACTTCAAGGCCAAAACAAATCAAGATAAGCAGGTCTCCATATTAATTTCAGCATTTGTAGCAGAGGTTGATCCTCCCAGAATGGCGGCGGCGCCCCAGCATGCAACGCGGCGTGACGTAGCTTTACATTATCTATTGTCTTTTTATGCATGCGGGTCAGGTCAGAACCATGATCTGTTCACACTGGAAATCTGATATCAGCCAAATTTAAAACAAAAATGTAAACAGCTATACAAAAAAATCAGGTCTGAGCAAAAATCAGAACTGAAAACTAAGGCTCGCAGTGTTAATGTAGCTAAAATGACTTGAGCCTGGTGGAGAAGTAGAGGAAAAGGGGAGAGGAGAGTTCAGGATAAGCAATGGGAGAAGTTTGGGTAAAGCCTTCTACACACTGCATGATTTTAGCAATCCTGTAAGGTAATTGCTTTTCACACTATTCGCCATGGATCTAATAAACTTGGGTATGGCATGCATGTAGACTGTGCGATGACACCTACTGACTCATAGGCTACGATGCACATTTCTATAGAAGAATAAAACCTCATCAGCATGTGCTAGTGGTAAACTAAAAGCATGACAAAGCACACTTTAGCAGTGAGGAAGAGGCAAGAATAAGAGCTTGAGGTAAGCAGTTTTATGTTTTAGCGCCATGTCGCATTTTTATTGGCTGGTCAGTAAACATGGGTCGTAGCAAACGCACTGTGCGATGATCATGTTGAATTTCTGACTCTCTCAGAAAATGACCGTAGGCTATCTTTGCAAGACAGTGACAACAGCTGTCTTTGAACCTCTCTCACTGTACGACAAAGGACCACCGATTAGGAGCCATGATCACAGAAATCACCACGATTGTTTCATGATGGCAATCTTTTGTCAGGGACAGCTGAAAATGGTGCAGTGTGTAGAAGGCTTTAGGCAGTGTTGTTTGCTCTTTCTTTGAGATATTTCCAGATTAGTGAGTTTTATTGTTTTATTGCAGGGTGTTTGATTTTGTGTTCTGTCTTAGCAGGAAATCATCCTTACAGATCAGTCCCTCTCCACTTCATATAAATAAACTCCACCATCCACTGCTTTCTAATGTTAAGGTAAAAAAAAATGAAAAAAGTTTGATTGTTGATATAATAATGCTATTATCTGAATTTACGTCTGTGATGTACAAAGAAACTTTAAGTAAATATATTTGCGAATAGTCTTTGTATGTTGGCTTTCTTTATGTTTCTATTCTATCATAAGAAGTGTTAGCAAACTAGCCTTCCATATATCTGATAACTAGTTGCTTAAATGTACCATCTCAGAGAACCTCATAATACGTTTGCCCTACAAAGCCCTTAGATAACTTTGAATCTTTTCATATAAAAAATTGGTACAAACAGTACAAATATTTGTGTGCTTGTCTCAAAATGTTTTTAAATTCAGTTTTACAAGTATTGGAGAATGTTTTGTTATTTTTGTTGGGCAGTTGTGGCCTAATGGTTAGAGAGTTGGACTTGTTACTCAAAGGTTGTGGGTTTGAGTCTCATACCGGCAGGGATTGTAGGTGGGTGGAGTGAATGAACAGCGCTCTCTCCCATCTTCAATACCATGACTGAGGTGAGACCCTTGAGCAAGAACACAGATTTCAAGAATGGGACACCATACTTGGCCATGTCCTGTCCTTTCCTTATTTTGTATTTTTGTAGTATGTAAGTGCAAGAGTCACAGCAAGTGTACAAGAACAAGAATTGACCTCACATCCAAGGTTTACTCAAGTGTGTGTTATTAGCGCTCTCAAGTGGCATCTGCAATTTTTAGCTGCGTGTATTTAAAAGCTGCAAGAGAAAAAAAACTGAGGAAATAAGCATAGACCCTCCACACTTGTTTAACTATTTAAAAGTGTAGAAATGAATTGTCTATCAAGGTACATACATACTGGCATAGTATGTTTTGATTTATAAATGATTTTAGTAGTCACACAGTGTATATGCAGCATATGATCTGTACAATGTTTGTATAAACAGTTTCAGAAAGCTATTTTTAAAGGAGAACTCCAGTTAAATGTCAACATCAAGAAACAAGTATCAAGTTCTCACAGACCATTCTGTACTTTGTGTTTTTGAGAGATTAAAGTAAAATAAATGTAATCATATCTTCAGCAAATCAATAGCGAAACTAAAAGCTCTCAGGAAGACTTCAGTCACGTGATCATGGTTTGAATGAAAGGATGTGACTGGTTTAAGCAGGAGCTGCAGCACTTTGACTCTGTGCAGCTCAGAGAGAAGACGGAGGAGAAACACCAGAGACGGCAATAACAATGACTTCAACACGTACAGGTCTGTGAAAACCTATGAATACTGATCACTTCTGTTTCCATGCTGTTAAACTAGAAGAGGAACATGAAAGGAATGTTTAAAAGGAAAGTACACTCTTAAAAATAAAGGTGCTTCACGATGCCATAGAAGAACTTTTTTGTCTAAAAGGTTCCATAAAGAACCTTTAAGACCTGAAGAACCTTTCTGTTTCACAAAAGGTTCTTTGTGGCGAAAGAAGGTTCTTCAGATTACAAAAAGGTAAGAAAGAGATGGTTCTTTAAAGAACCTTTGACTGAATGGTTCTTTGTGGAACCAAAAATGGTTCTTCTATTGCATCGCTTGAAGAACCTTTTGAAGCACCTTTATTTTTAAGAGTGTAATAGAAAAAATTAATGTATTTTAACATAAATATAAACATATGACAAATGTAACTTTTAAATTTTACAGTGTTTGCTGTACTTATTAAACAATATCTGTTTTATAATTGTCTAATTTCAATAATAATCTTTGAACATTAAGAATACAAAAAATGTATAGTTGCTTTTTACACTACAGTAATTTTTCTATATAATACTTCATAACTTTTCAATATAAATGTATACATACCACCAGAGGTGTGAAATCCAGGTTCAGAAAGTAAAAGTTCTCCACAGTATTTTGTTCCAATCACCTGGATTTGCTAATTAGCACAGTTTTTCAGCCAGGAGATCAGAGACGGGACCAAGTCATTCCTTTCAAGTCACAAGCAAGTCTAGAGTCAAATCCCAAGTCCTCAAAGAGTTAAAGTTAATGAGATAATTAAGAGACTAATTAAATGATGATTGTGCATTAGTGATGAACACCTGCTGTTAACAAGCAGAATCACTGAAGAAAAGAGAAACACAAGAACTACACCTGACTTCAGCCACAGCCTTAGATGAAATCAACTGGGAAAAAAAATATTAAATCTCTCAAGATCTGATTAAACAACTCCACAAACAGCATCACCAGCTCCACTCATTACTAACCAGATTGACTTAATTTTATGTCTGCAGAATCTCTTACTGAGAATTGACAGAGATTTAGATGTTGTTTTATTGGTCAAGATAAGAAAGAAATAAATAAATAACACGATGACACCATTATTGTGGTCAAGGTTTGCTTTAGTTGGGCTCTTGACCCTTTTAAGAGTTCAAAATAATTTACTTCTAAGTGATTGCATTATTGTCTCACAGCAAACATTGTGCATTGCTGAATCACATCTTGAAGTAATAGATTAGCTTACACTTTCTGCTTATGAACCACAATGAATGAACATCATAACGTGGTTTCTCGTTTTGGTTTATTCACTGCTGTTCAGCTATTACAGAAATGCAATAAAAAAATCATATTAAACAAATGCCACCATAATACTGCAATGTAAAAAAAAAAAAGAAGTGTATCAGCCCAGGCTTTTAGACATGAACACTTATCATATGATCCTCAACAGTGGTGACAATAATTATTCATACTGCAGTGCATGATGGGAGTTTTTACTATGGTGTTACCCAGCATGCATTGCAGCATGAAACATTTTGTTGATTATCACCATAGTTGAGATTCATATGCTGGTTCTTGGTGTCTGTGTGTGTCAAAATGTTACATTATATCATATCACATAGCCTAAACTTTTAGTCACAATAACTAATAGAGCAATACATTGCTTGTGAGCTGTAGTTTTACAGGGTTGATTTAGTAAAACCTAAAAATTAAAGTGAAAAATAAGTTATTTTGATTGTAACAATGTAACCTCATGATGATTGTCTTATCATATATATATATATATATACAGCTAATAGTTGTTCACTGTGAGCTGTAGTTTTACAGGTTTGATTTAGTAAAACCTAAAAATAAAAGTGAAAAATAAGGTAATTTGATTGTAACAATGTAACCTCATGATGATTATCTCATCATATATATATAGAGCTAATAGCTGTTCACTTCATAGCACTGATCTCTCTGCTTTACAACACCTCATGCAGTGTTAGAGAGAGATAACTAATACAAGAGTCAAGGGTCAAGAGCCCAACTAACAGCAGATGTTCATCACTAACGCACAATCATAATTTAATTAGTCACTTAATTATCTCATTAACTTTAACTCTTTGAGGACTTGGGATTTGACTCTAGACTTGCTTGTGACTTGAAAGGAATGACTTGGTTCCTCCTCTGGTGAAATCAGCTGCTGAGTTCATGGGTGGAATAAACATATGGCAGGACTTTTACTTTCTGACCTCTGGATTGTCCGCCTCTGCATATCACTGATAATGTTGCATGCATATTGCAAAGAAAGAG